TGGGGCGGGGCCGCCATGCGAAGCCTGCCACTTGGGCCTCCGGTGGAGCTCCCTATGGAGCAGCGGAACGTGTGAGGGATGCGCCGACATGGGGCGGGGTCGGCATGCGAAGCCTGCCGCTTGGGCCTCCGGTGGAGCTCCCCATGGGGCAGCGAAGCGTCTGAGGGGTGTGCCGAAATGGCGCGGGGCCGCCATGCGAACTTTGGGGCCTTCGGTTGAGCTCCCCATGGGGCCACGAAGCGTGTGAGGGGTGCCATGCGAACTCTGCCACCTTAAGCTTCCCAAGATGAAGCCAGGGTCGGGGCAAAATTTGACCGGGATAAGCCTCATGCTCGGTTTTTCAAATTACCGGGGGCACCGCCGAACAGGCCTGCCACGCCTTGGGCGCCATCGGCTTCGCGAGGGAAGGAATGCGTCCCTGCGCGGATGAAGCCACAGCGCGTATTTGGCCACGCGCACGCCCGAGGGAATTCAGCGACAAGCGCCTTTCACTCCAGAAGACCCGACGTCAACAAAACAAACTTGAGGCCCCAAGGGGGCCCCAAGGAGGCGGACCGCCAAAACAATCACGCAACCAACGCAACGAAAAAAACACGAAAATGTCAAAAAGCGCGCTACTCAGTGACATCTTCGGCCACGCAACATCGCGATAATGCCCAAGAAGGCATTGGGAAAAAGTCCCGCGCGCGGCCAAGCGACTTCCCCGCGCCGCCCCAAGGTTCCCGAAGCGCGCCGAAATAACCGTAGAGAACACCCCGGAAAGTCTTTGGAAAGTCCCCGCGCCATGCACGATCCGCCACCGAACAATCTCGCGAACACCTAGCGCGTACGCGCGGGCGTCCACCATGGATGCCCAATTCTGGTTTCCGAGACAATCGCGCGCAACCGCCTGGGGGCCTCGGCAACCTCGCGATGGGCCCAAGGGCCCGCGGGCCCCAGGGAATCGAGGACCGAGTTCGCAACTCCGGAAGCATCGGGCGCGGCGCCAGCCAGTCGCTCGTCTCTGACTGACAGTAGGACGCCTGGAGACCCGGTAAAACCTAAGGAACCGCTTTTCAGAGATTCACAGAACCAGAAACCGGGGCGCGCCAAATTCTCGCGTCCGAACTTCTCTGAGAATCTCTGAAAATCTCTGACCTAGCCACCCCGCGCGAAACATTCCCATAAACCCAAAACCTCGGAGCTGGCCGAAACTCTCTGAAAGTTTTTCGGCCCGCGAAATTTGGCGCGCCCGGATTTCTGGCTCCGAGATTCTCTGACATCGCGCTGCGGCGGCGCCCAGCAGGTCCTCGCGCGCCCAGGGTGGGGGCCGTGGACATCGCGGGCCGCGATGGTCCCGACCGCGAGGTCCTTCCTCCTGCCCCTCGACGAGTCCACGCTCATGGACACGCTCTCTGCGCTGAGCGTGGACTGCGCCATCCGCCGGTACTTCTGCGCGACGACAGCCAACTGGCCGCCGACGGACAAGGCGATTTTTCTCCGAGCTGCGCGTGCCACCGAAAACGAACAATAGCCCCAGGCTCGGGGAGAAACAGTTTCGAAGCATTTTCAGGCCGCCAGCGTCGCGGCTGCCGACCCGCCGCGCGCCGACCGAGACTAGCTGGGTCCACTGCGTCCACGGCGGCGGGCGGGCGCCCAAGAGAGCTGTCGCTCGGTGCGCGCGGCGGGGCACACGCCCAACTGCAACCGCAAATGCGGCCTCCATGGCGCCACAGGCGTAATATGTGTGACGCATTCTCGGGCCCCACATCAACGCATCGGCCAGCGCCCAAGTCCCTGAAACGCAAACCTACTGTGCCCCCCGTGCAAGCCGCGCACCCCCTCACAGTGCTCGTGCACACCAGATTTTCTGCCCGCCCTCAACAGTTTAATTGAGCGCCCATGTGTTACTTGGGCTCCTCAAGCCCTCGAACACTCTTTGGGAACTTCTGCGAATGCGCGCGCTACGCTCCACAAATCGGCGTTCTATTTTTCTCTGGAACCCTCCCAGAATCTCTGGTTCCGATTTGTCCCGATCTTCCACTCAACTGAGGCCACGAAACGTGTGAGGGTGCGCCGAAATGGGGCGGGGCCGCCATGCGAACTTTGCCACTGAGGCCTTCGTTGGAGCCCCCTATGGGGCCACGAAACGTGTGAGGGGTGTGCCGAATTGGTGGGCACGCGGAGAACAGACGCACGACGCTGACGATGGCGATGTTGATGACGCCAGTGATGGCGATGGTGCCCACGATCATGGTGATGGTGGCGATGATGATGATGATGACGATGACGATGATGATGGTGAGAGGGGGGAGTGGGCAGCGGGAGGAGGAGGAGGAGGAGGAGGAGGAGGAGGAGGAGCGCCAGTGCCCGCTGGAGGAGGAGGAGGAGGAGGAGGGAGACGCGGGGCGCTGTCTCTTCAAAGCGAAGACGCAACACCACAAAGTGGTTTGGAAAAACCAAGCGCTCACCGTCCGTGGACCGGTTTGAACACGTTAACCTCAGAACCATAAGCGGCGAGGCGGTCTAGAACCCTCCCCCGATCCCCACCCTACCAACACGTCTGGTGATGCGACGAGGATAACCTGCAGTATCCACAAAGGGACGGGCTGGAGCAGGACAGAGGGCAGCGGGGAGAGGAGGAGGGGCGGAAAGGGAGGGGAGTGGGGGAAAGCGGAAAGCAGGCAGGACGAAGGGATAGGGGGGGGGACGACGACGACGAGGTTGGAAGGAGTGGTGGGATGAAAAGGGCAGAAGGGAAGGACAAGAAGGAGAAAATAGGATGAGGAGGGGGAGGATGAAGGAGAATGAGGAGGACGATCATGAGCGAGAGGAGCTTCCCCCACGGGTGGAGCGGTGTCCTGCTGGGATGGGCCTATGAAGCACACCGCCTCCGTGTGGCCGATTGACGGCTGCGGGGCCGTCTCGCTGAACTCTCCCGCCGCCTCGGAGTGCCCTGGCCACGCTCCCTTCTCGAGCAGCCGAAGGGGTGCAGCAGCGCCGCCCCGAACTGGGACTTGTTCCTGGGCTGAGGGCCGTGACCCCATGCGTCCTTCTGGATGGGCGGGGGCACGGCTGGAGGCGCGAGGCCTATGCTGTCGGGGAGCGCGTCGGCCCTGGCGGGCATGGCATGTGCCCTGGCCAGCCCAGGCTCAGCCCCGAGGCCGGGCGGGAGCGGGCCCGTGCACGCTGTCTGGCGCGCTGCTCGGCAGGTCCACCTCGTCGCAGGGGGCCCGTGCTCGGCCGAATCCTCAGCCCGAGAGAGTGATGTCATGGGGTCTGGTGGCGTGGAATGTGGTGGTGCTGTCACAGGCGTTTGCGGCGCCACGGTTGCCACTCAGGCCTCGCCTGGCTTCGCCTTGGGCTCCACCCCAGTGGGTTGAATCGTAAAGGTTAGAGCTGGCTGCAGCGCCGGGGCCCAGGGTCCTCTAGTTGCGCCCTCCCCCCTCTTGGCAACAGGGGGGAACCGAACGACGCAATCCCAAGGATTGTCGGTTGGTGTTGTCTGCCATCTCGACCGTACGCGCGGTCGGGACGTCCCAGCGTGGCGCATCGAGGCTGATGATAGGGTCTGTGCCGCTTCCTGGTGGATAACAGACGGAGCCGTGAACCCTGGTGGGTCACGGTTGGTGCCCGTATTGTGTGCGAGGGCAAATGCAGCTCTGTGTAGCTGATCTTGAATTGCCAGCACAATTGCATCAGCTGGTTTTTGGGCAGGGGCTGGTTGGAGCGGTGTTGCTGGCAAGCGGTTTCGAAGTCGGTAGGGTGGTTCGGGGACGCTTCGTCGTAGGCTGCAGCAGCCCGGTATGCGCCGCCACTGCTTTGTAGAGCAGCGGTGCAAGCCTCCTGCACGAGAAGGCTCTCTGGACAGGAGGCTTGGCGGCCCTTGCCTGGTGGCTTGGGTTGCAGTGGTACATGACGCGCACGGTGAAGGTTCTCAGAAACCATTGCGGCGCGCGCGGGGTTATGGAGGTGACGCGGATCTGTCACACCGAGGGATGCGGCGTGTCCAATCTCGACATGCGCGGAGTCGGCGGAATGCCTCAGCTCACGCCGCATATTCTTCGGCCTAGGGGGCCACTGGAGGCCCCCTGGGAGCCCCCCAGAAGCCCGACAGGGGGGTGAAAGGCAACAGAAAACCAGAGCCTTGGACCGATGCTCGATCCTCGATTGCTAGGCTCCAACAACAGTTTCCTTGGAAGCTCGCATCAATAACTATACGCATGCACGCCCATCGGCGAGATGAGTTGTCGCGCGCGAGTGCTGAACGCTCGCGCGCGCGAGATTCCAAGAAGGCCGACCCGAAAATGACCAAACAATTGGGCCACGAGTGACGCCGAGATGGCCCGCTGGCAACAAGATGGATCCACGCGCGCCCAGGGTGGCCCCACAGTGGACACGCGACGGCTGCGTGACCCAAGCATGAACGAGATATGATCTCAAGATGACCTCAAGACGACCCTGACACGCCAAGAACGCTACAACTTCGGGGCCCAAGCTTACTGCGAGCCGATCCTAACATGGCGAGATTCGTGAACGACCCAGGATATTTGTTTACCCCATTGTTGCTGGGTGGGATTTTAGGGAGTAGTTTAGGCGGGATCCCGCCCGGCCCACGTCAGAAGACTACATTGCTAGGCTTCTACGGGGGGAGGGGGGCTCGGACGGGGCGTCATTCACTCCCGCTGATTTCCGCGAACCTTCCGGCGGCCTTCCGCCGTCTTCGCCTCGTTTTACTTCCGTCGGCTTCCGCGAGCGAGCGATGTGACGAAAATTCGAGGATTGTTCATCGGGCTGATGTGATCGACGCATGCTCGCTGCTCGATTCACGATGCTCGATACGCGATGTCAGAGCCTCGGTCCTCGTCGAGGCCCGGTTCTCAATGCCAGAGTCCCGATCCCTGATCCTCGGGCCTCGATCCTCGATGCTCGATCCGAGCTTCGATGCTCGAACCTCGATCCTCGATGCTCGATCGATCGGTCGGTCCATCGGCGCGGAGGCTGCGCCCGAAGAGAAGGTCCTGGATGCTCCCCAGCTGCTCCACGGCTTGCCCAGGCAGCACCTGCGGGGAAGGAAGGCCGCACGGGCCAGACGGAATCCAGATCCTAGGGGGCCACATGCGAACCCTATCCCTACCCCCCACGATTTCTGAGGGGACGCACAGGGACATACTAATACTATATGTATTCCTTGGAGGCGCGCGTCCGACCCAAACATATAGTATACCCATCTTGTAGTATATCGTTTCCCGAGCGGCGTGGCCAGAAAGCGCCCGCCACGACGCATATACTATAAGATTTCTCGGTACGCGCATCGCCCCCCGGGGGGGCGACGCACATATAGTATAAGTATGTTGGGGTGACGCCGATCTGAGGGGGAGGGTGGGGTTCACTTCGTTCGGGAGCTCCCGAGCGAAGTGACCCCCCCCCCCCTCAGAAATCGGGGGAGGTAGGGGCAGGGTTCGCATGTGGCCCCCTATTTCTCGAAGGGCTGGTGCAGTCAAAACGTATGCTAAGGACGGTTGGCCTGGGGCGGCGGGCGACCAGTGGAAACGACAGAGGGCGGGCCGCAGAGGCAAGGACACGGGGGCCCTGGATGATGGCGCGCGTCCTTACTAGGCGCGTTCACTGTATGTGAGTGCTCCATACGGTGAGAGCGTTGAAGAAAGAACCATGGAATCAGGAATCCAGGACCTGGAAGCCAATGGAACACACACTGAGGCTTGCTCCGTGCAACCGTGAACCTGTTCACTGTGTCCCATGGACAAACCATCCAATCACAAAAAAACCTGGAGATTCTGGCGCTGCAACTTTGGAGCCGGGCGAATTCGTCTTTTTGTCGGGCCCCCTGGCCCTCACAGATCGATCCAGCTCGAAAAATGATGCAGAAAGATGGGGTCTAGGGCTCGGGTCGTGTTTTTTTTCCAACGTCAGATCTTAGGGATCCCCGGGCAAACCCCAGGACAACCCATGATGATTCATGACGACAAGACGACCTACCCCGGACAACCCGTTGGACAACGCTGTGGGGATCTGGACAATCCCACCGGACACCTCCCCTTGGACAAGCCTCCCCAGGACCGTACTTTCATAAAATAGGGCAGGGTAGTATACCGCAAAGGTGCCATGACATGCTCTGTCCCGGCACCTTGGGATGCTCTCGGCCCCTGGGACCGACCATCGGGCGCGGGGCCATCAAATTGTCTCGTCGGATGTCTGGGGGGAAAACAACGGGGGGGGGGGTAACGAGTGAGCTCACGGGCGAAATAGAGGCGTGTGGGAGTAGGAGGAGGAGGGAAGGCAGGGTAGAAGGATGGTGATGCTTACAAGGCGCCGGCCTTACATCTATGGATGAGGCCCGCGCCTTCTAAGAAGTAGCCTCCTTGTAAGAAGCCTCCCTCCCTTCCCCTACCCCCCTCTCTGCGCGTAGCGCATCTCTTGGATCTGCGCTGGACCACCTAGCGGCGCCTCCGGCGGCGCCCCTGGCGCGCTCTGCGCGTAAGGGGAAGGAGTCCAGCGCCGATCCAGGAACCCCGCGCGGACCTCAGCGGTGCACTATGCCCTGCGAGCGGACGGCGTGTCGCTCCGCTCCGCGGAGCGGACCGAGTGCTGGGGACGGCCGGGACCCACCTGGGAACGGTCATCGGGTGCTGCCAGAAGTGCCCGTGGACCGAGGCGCCCCCAGGCTTTCCAAGGGGGCTCCCGCGGCTCCTCAGAGCCCCGCACGAGGCCCAAAGGGCCCCAGTGACTTTTTGCGTCGCGGCGTGGCAGAGGCAATCCGCTCGCGCGGAAGGGCAAATGTCCTCCTTTTATGCAAGAGAAGAAGAGAGAGGAGAGAGAGCGGCCACAGAGAAGGGGCAGGAACGCGGGGGGTCACTCTGTCGCAGCGAAGCCTCCGGGAATGCGCGGGGACGGCCAGGCTGAAGGGCAGCCCTTGGCAGCAATCGCGGGACGGCATCACGACGCACCCAGGGACACGCGGAGCAAAAGTTCCCGACCGCATGGTTTCGGAGGTCTGCGCGGAAGCCTTGGACTTCGTTTTTCGCCTCCCCTGGCCCGCGGAGGCGCGCCAAAGGACCGCGTGGAGGCCGTGAGGGGACGGGGGTCCAACACCGATCCAAGACATCCGCGTGGACCTTCGAATGTCTGCGCCCATGCAAGGTCCCTTCTTCGATCGGTCCTCCGCCTCCTCCTCCTCCTCCTCATCATCATCATCATCATCACCATCATCATCATCATCATCATCACCATTACCATTACCATCACCATAACCATCATCATCATCATCACCATCATCATCACAATAAGCATCATCATCATCATCACCATCATCATCATCATCATCATCATCATCATCATCATCATCATCATCATCATCATCACCATCATCACCATCGTCGCCATCGTCATCATACCCATTCTCCTCCGCCCCCTCCTCCTGCTCCACCTCCTCCTCGTCCCTCCTCTCCTTCGCGCCTGGTCCATCTTGTCGAGCTTGCCCTGGGAAGAGCTGCTATGCGGCAGCGTTATGCACCTGCGCTCCGCGGCGACGGGCCAGCTCTCCCCGTGCCTGCACCCCCTTCCCCTCTCCCTCCTCTCCTCCCCTCCTCTTCCAACCCCCGACCCTCGCTCCCAGACGCTCCTCCTCCTCCTCCTCCTCCTCCTCCTCCCCTCCCCCTCTCCCAATCCCTCATCCAACACCTCCACACACAACGAGAAGAGACCTGGGAATGGCCACCTCGTCACGAGTTCTGGAGGCTATGATAGGAGGGAAGGGGTCAAGAGGAAGGACGACCGGATTTTTCAGCACATCGGAGCACGCAAAGAGAATGCTGTGCTTCAAACCACAACAGGCTGTGGGGGGAGGGAGGTGGAGCACGAAGGGAGAAGAGACCCACCACCCCACACGAGCCCCTTCCCCACCACCAACGTGGCATATCCCTGCCCTAACCCGACCCAGGCCCTGTCGACACTGCGCCAATGCCAACCTGACTCATTAGAGCTAACGTGACCAACGGCTCGGCGACATCAGTGTGTCACGCGCGCGTGCTATAGCAAACGATGCGCCAGAATGGGGCGACACAGCTCCACGCAATGCGAACGTGCCAACTGCTCTTCGTTTCCAATGAAGACACTAGCCAGCGCTGAAGCGACAGCAACTGCTGCAATCATGGATGTGGCCAGCGCTGTGGCGAGAGCAACATGCTCAATCATGGATGTGGCAGACGCTGAGGCGAGAACAACTTTCGCAATCGTGGATGCGGCCGGCGCTAAGGCGAGAGCAACTTTCGTGATCGTGGGTGTGGCAGGCGCTGAAGCGAGAGCCGCCGCCGCAGGGCCGCGGTGCGCGGGGCAGCTGTCGCAGGGCACTCGGACGGAGCGGCGGCGGCGACGTCCCCAGATTCTCCCGAATCCTCCTCGATCCTCCACCTCCTCCTCCTCCTCCTCCTCCTCCTCCTCCTCCTCCTCCTCCTCCTCGATCCTCATCGATCATCCACCTCCTCGTCCCCCTCAAATCTTCCTCGATCCTCCACCCCCTCCCCCTGCTCGTTGATCCTCCGCCCCCAGTCCTCCACTTCTCCTCCTCCTCCCTCCTCGCCCCTCCTCCTCCTCCTCCTCCTCCTGATCCTCCTCCTCCTCCTCCGACGTCCCCCGCTATCCTCCTCGATCCTCCACATCCTCCTCGGTGCTCGCTCCTCCTTCCCGACCCTCGCACCTGCCAGCCCTGCCCGGGCCCACCGCCCGCCTCTGAGGGTTGCCCGGCGGCAGCGGCACCGCCCCTGGGATGCTGTCCGACCTGTGGGGCTGCAGGCTGCGGGCGGGTGCTGACTGGCACGGCGCGGGGCGAACCCGACCACGACGACGACGAAGGCGATCCCGACGACGAAGGTCTCGACGACGACGACAACGACGATCTCGACGACGACGGCAACGACGACGACAAAGACAACAACGACGACGACGACGACGGACAGGACGACGACGGAGACGACGGCGACGACGACGACAACAAAGACAACAACGAACGACGACGGCGACGACTGTCTCGACGACGACGACCTCGATGACGATCTCGACGACGATCTCGACGATGACGACGAAGACGTCGACGACGATCCAGGGTGGTGCCGAGGGTGAGGGCGGCGGGGCAGCCGGCGGAACGGCTCGCAGTGCCAGATCCCCTCACGCTGTGACACGAATCACGGTGGGAGGATTCCGGCAGCTTTCGGCCTCCGGGGGCCCCTTCATTGCAAGGGTCGCGGGGCCGTCGAAGGAGGGCTCGGGATGAGCAGCCGGTCCCCGGGAAGGGGTCCAAACCTGTGTTGAGCAGGGACCGGCCGTCCCGGCACTCCTATAGTCCTATAGGCCTGCCACGACATATTATAGAACAAGAGGATGCGCTGAGAGTAGAAGCACGGCTCTTTGAACATAAAGCCGATGTGTTGAACGAACACGGTATCAGACAGAAATGTTCTAAGAACATGTCGTGCAACCTACACGAGGTTCTCATAACATTTTGTGGTGAGCCTACGGGCAAGCCAGGACGCCTCGCCACTGCTCGGGAGGAAGCCTGGGGAAACCAAAAGGTACCCATACTGCTTCTCCTTGGGGTGCGTTCCGACCAAAAAAATCGAAGCGAATCCAGCGGTGGCGACGAGAGCCCCCGAGGAGGCCCAAACGTGGGAAACGACGGAAAGAGTAGCGGCACGGGTACCTTTCCCTCCTCTAAGGGGAAGGAGAGCCCAGAATCGAATCGAGAAGTCGGATCGGAGATCGAAACGAATCGGATCGGCGGAACTCGGCAGCCGAGTCCGGAAAAGTCGAATCGGCGGAAATCGGCAGGCTCGGCTAGTAGGCCTCCAACGAGAAATCGAAGGCCGAGCCGGAACCCGAGGCCGAGTCGCATCGGAACCGGGAGCCCCCGAGATCGAATCGCATCGGAGCGGGGGAGTCGACGGGGGGTCACAGACCCGCGGAGGCGCCCGCGATAGGAAGGCACCAACTATACACCAACACCGATCCTGGCCCAGGATCACCCTGGGCCCAGGATCGGTGTATACGCCCTCCTGCCTTGCGCAAGAAGGCATATACACCGATCCTGGGCCCAGGGTGATCCTGGGCCAGGATCGGTGTTGGTGTATAGTTGGTGCCCTCCGACGTGAGGATCGCGCGAAGAGATCCCTCCCTCGAGGGGTCTCCGTGGAGCCGTGGAGAGGGCGAGGGCGGCGGGGCGGCCCGAGCGGCCGGCAGCGGCGAGGCGGCCCAGGGGCCCGCCCGGAACGGGTACGGAAGAGAATGGGGTGAGTCCTCCTCC